CCAGAACCCCACTGACAAGCAGGGGGTCCTCACACCACCTCCAGCCCAGGCAATACTCGGATCCCCACCCCACTCCCCCCAGCCCCGTTCCTGGGGTCAGACCAGGGAGGGACCCCCACGCCCCACCCCAGCCCCCCTTACTGGGCTGGGCCGGGCGGGGGGTCGCCGGTCCCACGGGGGCAGGGGGGCCTGGGGGGCCGGGGGGCCCGGGGGGGTCCCTTCTCTCCGGGGAGTCCCCTGGCCCCGTCCCGGCCGGGGGGTCCCGGCGGGCCGGGGGGACCTGCGAGGAGGAAGAGGAGGGTGAAGGTCGGGGGGGGCCCGGAGCCCCTCCGACCCCCAAACCGCCCCACGGACTCCCCGAGATCGCCCCGCCAGGGGAGGGGGTGCTCAGCTGGGGTCAAGCGACAGATTTGGGAGGGTCCCCCCCCTCATCCCATCGTCCCCCTCCCCGTACCTGGCGGCCCCGTCGGTCCCTTCACTCCCGGAATTCCCGACGGGCCCCGTCCTCCCGCGTCGCCCTTGGGGCCGGGGGGTCCCCTGGGGCCGGGTCTCCCTGCACAGAGTGGCACCCTGAGGGGGGCACCCCGGGGACACCCCCTCGGGGGGGACCCCACCGTCACTCACCCCCTCCTGGAGCCCCTGGGTGGCTCGATGTCACCGCTGGGGACAACGGGGGGGGGGCGGGACAGCATCCACCCTTCGTCCCTCTAAATGAGGGGTCCACGAGGGGGTCCCCCCAAATGAGGGGTCCAAGAGGGGGTCCCCCCAAAATCGATATACTGACAGCACCCCGGGGCTCTCCCAGCGCCGCGGGGCTGCCGGGTGGCACTGCCACCGTCACTGCCACTGTCACCCCTCACCACCTTACCGTCATCGCCGGGGCTCCCGCGGGCCGCCGGGGACCCCCAGAGCTGCCCCCGGCCCGGGGGGCCACCCTTGGGCTCTGCGGGGGTGGGGGGCTCTGCCACTGCCAGCCGGGCCACCTGGCAGAGACACAACGGGGGTGGGCGACAAGGAGACCCCCCGGGGCTCCCGTGCCTCTCGGTGGGGGGGGGGGGGAAGGGATGGCAGACCCCAAATTGGGGCTCACCTGCGCCTCGAGGGTGGCGAGCCGGGCCGTCAGCTCCCCGACACGGCTGCAGTTCAGGCACCCTGGGGGGGGAAGGGGGAAAAAAGAGGGAAAGGGGATAAAGGGAGAAAAGGGAGAAAAAGAGAAGAAAAGAGGGGGAAGGGGGGAAAGGACGGG